GGGGGGGGGGGGGGGGGGGGGGGGGGGGCAGGGGGATGCTATGCGTGTGTGAGTGAGTGAGCGTGTTTCAGTGCTGTCCATGTTCTCGCACAAGCTTGGTTCGATCACGGTATGGCCAGGTGTCCCCGTTCTTCCTGAAACACGGGATTCGCTGCCGCTGTGGGCGTTAGTTGACGGAGCAACGGAGGGCGGTCGTGCACTGACTGTCCTCGCATCCTCGCATCCGACACGACAGCAACATAGCCGCTTACAACTATCAGCAATACAACTGCGTCTGCGAATCCTGATCCTGAGGTTCCTAGGAAATTGAAAAAAAAAACGCCCCTTTTCAAGACTTGCGTCTTTTTATTCGCTTGCGTCAGACACGCAGGGATTTTCATTCCGGAACGTGTACAGCAGTGCATGGAGACGTGGCTAATTCGCTCTTGTCGCCCCGGACCCCCCCAACGCAAAAAGGCACGGCCGGGCAGAAAACGTGCCCCCCCCAGCAAAAGGCCGCTCCCTATTATTCCTCCTCATTTTCGAGGACAAGGGCAATTCTAGCTCGAGATGTTACAAAGTAAATATTGGCAGCTGTTGTCGCATGGATGCCGAAACAGCAGCACTAACTGCCCGAGGGCGAGGACCTTCATCTACACCATAACACTACCATAAGCAAGGAAGCGCGGCGCGCCCTCCTACCACCACATCCGTCAGACTACCGTCACCTCTTCGGGCCTCATGCGCAGCTCCCCGAGGAGGTAGCCGACAGCTGTCTGCGGGCCCCCCGCCGATCTCCCCGTCATCCTCTCCTTCATCCTGCTTGCAGCCGCAGCCGCAGCAGCAGCCTCGCGACCGTATTCAACCACACCCGACCCGGGGGATACCTTCACGCCATCCGCGGTGCCCCCCCTACCGCCGGCATCCAACCCAGGGGACGCGTCCGCCGCGGCCCCCCCGCAATCGGAATCAAGGGCGCCTCCGCGGAGAGCGAGACCTGATCGCGGTGATCGTCTGAGTTGTTCCACCTCTTCGTCCGACAAGCCCAGCCTCTCCTGGAGCGACAGCGAGTGATGCTCCCAAGGGGGCTCCGCATCTCTATTCTCTTCCTCCTCCTCCTCGTCCTCCTCCTCCTCGTCCTCCTCCTCCTCGTCCTCTTTCTCCTCCTGCGATGTGAGTTGTGATGACCGAAGCCGAGGGGGAGGTAGGGGAGAGAGCAGGAAGGCCGGGAGAAGGAGATCCAAGGCCAGTTTAGAGGGGGACGATAATATCGGGAGGAGGGGGGAGGGGGGGGGGGGGGTGAGAGGCGAACGAGCACGAGGTAGAGGAGCAAGAGTGGGCGAGGGAGGGGAGAGACAACGAGAGGGTAGAGTCTGGTTACTGGTTACACAAAAGTGTGTGTATTCGTTCCTTCCCGCACGGAATAAAAAAGGAGAAGAGCAGCCAACTCCATCTATCAATCATGACACCAAGAGGTTCTCCTCCATCGCTCTCCACACTGGCACCCCCCCCACTACCGTGACAGGCGGAGAGATTGCACCCCCTTAAGACCAATTTTCAAAGCCCGATTGCTCCCTAACCAAGACTGTGCCAACAACCAACAATGGTGGTCTTGGAATCATCTACACATGTCGTCGACGGCCTTCCGTAGAGTTATCGGGCTCTTTCCGAACCAACCTCCCCTTGGTCGTGGATCAATCGAATGGACCTGTAAAAGTCTGCTTGGGGGGGCGCGCCATCTCTCCGCCTCTTTCGGTACGCCCCCCACCCCTGTCCCCGAACCAAGTGACGCTTTCCCACATTGTCTGTTTTCGTGCTGCTAGCGCCCGTTGGCGTTCGTGTTCCCAATATCCCTCTCCCCTTCTGCTACTAGTTTAGAGCGGCCTTGCGCGCTCTCCTCGCTGCCAAGGCTCAGATGCTCGAGCACATTCCACACACACACATGCAGCACGCGCAGTAAAAGCCGCTCTCTTACT